TATTCTAGTAAGAATAAAATACTGCCCCTTCCATGAAGTGGTCCAATGTAATCACTCTGCCACCAGGTAGCTGGCTAATCACCCAGAGAATGGTACCATATCATGGGCTCAGTGTTGATCTCTGCCATTGACAAATCAGTCACTCAGTGGCTGTAGCCAGGTCGGCCTTGGTGAGTGAAGCCCATGCATAACCTCCCTCCCTGCCATGAGGGCCTCTTTGCTCATGCAAAGAGGTAATGGCAGGAGTGGGTGGTGAAAAACATTGGTTGGCATCCACAGGACAGGTTATACTATCCACTTGGTTATTAAAATCCTCCTCTGCTGAGGTCACCCTTTGGTGAGCATAACATGGGACATAAATATCTTCTCCCTATTCATTCATTCAGAGATGTCTATCTACCTATACCTCTTCCTCAGATTTACTTGTCACCAATTTTCCAATCATATTCATTTCCCATCCAAGACCATCAAGACTAGGTGTGTAATTGCATGTGCCCTTTAGACAGGCAAATGAATTAAACATTTGTGGTATATCCATATAATGAGTTGCTTATCAGCAATAAAAATAAATGAACTACTGATAAATATAAGGGGATTATGTTGTGTGGAAAGAGCTAAAGGCAAAAGGAAATACACTCTAATTCCATTTATATAACATTAAAAAGTGACGAAATTATAATGATGGAGAACAGATTAGTGGTTGCTAGGAATTGAAGGGAGGTCATGAGTGCTAAGGGATAATTGAGAGATAGTCTAGTCTTTGTGTTGATGGAACAGTTCCATCTCCTGATTGTGGTAATGCTTACATAAGCTATATATGTTCCATAATGCCATAAAATCATCCTCTTAAAAAAAGTGAGTGTAAAAATTTGTTAAATATATATATGGTCTTTATTTGAGTTAAAAATACTGTATCAATGCTTGCTTCTTGGTTTTGACAATGTACTGCATCTATATAGGAAGATCTTCAGAGAATCTTGGTTAAGTGCACTCAAGGACTCTATATACTACTTTAGCAACTTCTTATGAATGTTAAAAAGTTATATAAACTTATATATATTTAAATTATATATATTATATATTATATATATTTAAATTTTTTATTATTAAATAAAAAAGGCTGGGCATGGTGGCTCACCCCTGTAATCCTAGCACTTTGCAAGACCAAGGCAGGTGTATTTCTTGACCTCAGGAGTTCATGATCGACTGAATAAGAGTACGACTCCCTCTCTACTAAAAATAGAAAAATTAGGACCAGCATGGTGGCTCATGCCTATAATCCTAGCAATCTGGGAGGTCAGAGCAGGTGGATTGCTTGAACTCAGGAGTTCAAGACCAGCCTGAGCAAGAGTGAGACCTTATCTCACTAAAAATAGAAAAACTAGCTGGGGGTCTTGGTGGGCATCTATAGTCTCAGCTACTCGGGAGGCTAAGGCAAAAGGATCTCTTGAGGCTAAGAGTTTGAGTTTGCTGTGAGCAATGATGATGCATGGCACTGTACCCAGAATGACAGCGTGGGAATCTGTCAAGAAAAGGAAGGAAGGAAGGAATGGAGGGAGGGAGGGTGGAAGGGAGGGAAGAACAGAGGGTGGGAAGGAAAGAAGGAAAAGAAAGGAGGGGGAAGAAGAAAATCTGGAAAACAAAAATGCCTTGGCTATGCTTTTCTTTTTCTGCTTGCTTCCTATCCCTGAATTAATAGAGTGTGTCAGAATTGGTACACTAAGAGAGAAGAGAAAGGATGATTTGCTAAAACAAAAATGTCAACAGATGTTCTAAGATGGGGAATCAGCCAAAGGCAGTCCCTGAGACCCCTCTACTGTGATTCTGCGTCCCTCATGCTAAGGTCAGCCTTAACAGAGTGAAATTTTCTTTATCATAAAGTACACAACTACTGAAGGCACACCACTTTATTTTTAATTATTTTCAATGACAGTCTCCTAGGAGGTTGGAAAATTGAATGAAGTGAAGTGTTGGAAGGAAATGATGCCAAAATTGTGGTTTTGTGGACCGTACATGGTGTTGAAGATGAAACTGAGGATTGCACTAAGGGAAAAGATCTTTGTAGGGCTACCACTCCCTAGGGAATAGAAAACAATTGTTCTTTTTTATTATTAAGTCAAATATGTCTTTGTGAAGAGGCTTTTAAAAAAAATCATCCATTTAATGAAATTACTGCCATAGGAAAGAAGAACGTTTTTATTGTTATATTAAAACATAAAATTTGTGTTAATACCAAAGGCAGGAATGTAGAAGTTTAAAAGAGCAATGTTTCTGCCCACATATCTCATGAACCCTTCTGAACAATGCCAATAAAGTCTCCCTCAAAATGTTTTCTAGCACTAACCATTACTGTTTGGTTTTACAGTTGAGAGCTCTCAAAAGGTGTTTTCATTGTGGTTATACATTTCTTATGGTAATTTTCACTTTGGACACTCTAAATCCAAGGATCATTTGTGCTACAAAGCAGAATTCTGCATAATTTCGAGGAGTAATACAGGCAAAACTTTCAATAGGAGAGTAAGGATCAGTGTTGAGTAAAGTTTACTCTATACTGTCCCTAATTCTGAAGCACATATTAATATAACCATGACAACCTTTGCTTATGGTAGCCATGGTCTGGATACTTATCTCATAATTTCCCAAGATATAAATATTAGTCACAGAGGTTTTGCTGTTTTTGAGTTACTACCGAATTTTGAGAATATGAGTCCTTTGTTATATATGTTGTTTGCAAATATTCTCTCCCAGTCTGTAGCTTGTCTATTTCCAGAGTCAAAGGTTTACATTTTCATGAAGTCAAATTTACCAATTTTTTATGCATCATGCTTTTGGTGTCATGTCCAGAAAATTTTCACCAAGGAATGTCTGGCTGCTTCAGCAACATTTGTTGAAAAGGTTTTCTGCCTCTATTGGATTGCTTTTGAACCCATCTATGTTCAGAATCAGTTGGGCATATTGCATGGGTATATAACTTAGTTTTCTATTATGTTCCATTGACTTATGTCACTGTCCCTTTGCAAATACTACACACTACTTATTAGTGGAGCTATATAATACATCTTGAAAACAGGTAGAGTGATTTCTCCTATATTATTGTTTATATTTTTTAAGTTATTCAAGTTCCTTTGCTTTTCCATATATACTTTAGAGGAATCTTGATTCTTATTTTCAAAATATCTTGCTGTGATGTTGATGGGAATTGTGTTAATTCTGTACATCAATTT